TGGCACGCGGCACTGTTGTCCTTGCTGACTTGGCGCTTGCGGCACCGTTTGCTGACCTGACCTCTACAGCGTGTGCCATGTCGTACAGCACAACATGTGGACAGGCACCAACATGTGGACAGGCCCCAACATGTGGACAGGCCCCAACAACAAGGCCTACATGGTGCTGACAGGGCACTACGTAGTAATAATACTAGGTCAAAAGAAAGCAATACGACCTATGATATTTAGGAAGATACAAGTCATTTCTACGTGTCGGAATAGTGGGAGTTGCGCTAGGTGATTCTCGCTTTCCGTGAGATGCCTAATGGCCATGGGGGGAGGAATATCACTAAGGCGGTGGAGAAGGTGTAGATCAGTGGAAGTTGCAGACAAGTTGCCTCGGTCTCATGACCGATAATGAGTCTGCAAACTAGACATGGGCATTTGACGCGGGCAGGTCGGCCTACCTGTCCGGGTCGATCGACCCTTGACACGTCGGGGTATCCTTGTAACGGGTACTTTTGACCCGTCGGGTTAAATCGACCCGATTCGACATCAGGTCACAATTGGATTCGACGAGTGAGAGATACGCCTAGGTGACAGGATTAGTGGAGGGAAGTACCAGAAGAAACGTGAGTGGAAGGAAAGATATGTAAATTAATAAGTGTGAAGAGGAAAGGTTGGGTTTCGTAGAGGAAATTCGGTATGATGCGGTTGGGGGTGGTGGACTAGTTGGGATGAATTGGGGCAATTCACACTTCGATTTAAGTAGGTTTCTAAGTGAGATTTCGGCAACCAATAGGGATAGTTTTCCCCCTTCCCTTTTGCAGGAAAAGCTGCCGTTCCGCGCGGTTCTGCGGGAAAACTCGCCGACCTGCGTGGATCTGGGGGGGGAAATGCCGATTCGCGAGAATCTGCGAAAAAAATCGCCGCCAGTCTTCGCGGTGTGCAGGGGAAATCACCGATTTCCGCGGTTCGTCGGGGGAATTCGCCGATCAGCATGGATGGCGAATTTTTCTTGGACCCGACCCGACCCGAGGTATACATCACCGAGGTCGGGTCGGAGAGACCCGAGCCCCCTGTGGCGTGTCAGGCATCCTAAAAACGACCAATATTGACCCGACCCGACCCGACCCGACCCGACCCGACCCAACCCGAACCCGCCTCGGGTCGGGTCGACTTGGACGGGACGGGACGGGATGGGACGGGACGGGCCGGGTAAAGTGCCCATGTGTACTGCAAACGTCGTCGGACTTCACCTCCTGATGGAGGAGGGTGGTGGGTCTCGGTAGTTCAACAAAAAAAAAGCATTTCAAGTCCATTCTGCTTGTGGATACACATGTACATTCTCACCCTCCCCTCGACTTCTGCAAGACTTGGCGCCTCTCTTGTGTTCGCACCTAAACACCCTTGCATCCACGTGTGAGTCGCGTACCCCTCCAATCCAATGCAGGTGCCTATCGCACATCGTGAACCTGGCCGTGCAGTCTTCGCTGTGTTCGAGTACGGGCCAAGCACCTTAACGTTCGGCCTTGCCTCAAAACTATTCGACCCTATACTCGGACAGTCGCACACTACCCTTTAGGAAAGCTATTCGAGTCGGACTGTTCTAGTTCTTTTCGACTTGACCAAGTGTTTGAAACTGTTCGAGTCAAAAGTGTTCAAATTCGTCCGTTGCTACTGTCTACGGAAGACCAAAAACGTAAATGACGAGGTGTGATTTGCAGATGCAATCAGACAAACCCAGCCATGAGGTGATGGCAGACACAATCTGCTGTCATAACACAGCATAGGTAGTACCCACAAAGCCTTCACAAAGAGCTTCAAGGGAACAGGAGAACACTACTCATACTGTTAAGAAGTGAGGGGCAAAGGGAACTTGGAGCACTTTGAGAAAGGCTATCCGTGCAATTCAGAAGGCTGGCGGCTGTTGGGGATTGTGAATGACGTTGAGACAAAGAGGTAACTCACAGGCCCGTGAGAGTGGCCACGCGTGTGATCCATGAGGGCAGCGACCCACCCAATCTGTTGTACCCCACATCCCTGTGAGCCATGTGGGAACGGGTGCAGGCACGCAAGCAGGCAGGCACGGCAGAAGTCAAGCAGGTAAGAACACAAGCATGCAAACAATCAGGCACAATACGTACAGGGAATAAGAGGTGAGCACCGATGCACCATCACCATGTGTGCACGCATGCAGGCATGCACACTTGCACTGCACACATGCAGGCATCCCGGAAAGGAGTATGGCTGGTGCACCTTTTGACTCAACTTGTGAGCGACTCGCACAAAGACCGTGGTTGCTGTAGTGACTGCAGAAGCGAGTGAGATTGCGAAGTGCAGTATGGCGTGGATAGTGAAGCCGGACGCCCAAGCACGGTGCACTCGTGACCAGAAGCACACACTTTGCACTGCAGGTGAGCACAGAGACACAGACATGTGATGCTGGCCCATGCTGGTCCATGCATGCTGACTGAAGCCCATGCTAGAAGAAGATGCTGCGTTGCACTTCATTCCTCTAATTTCACTTGACGCACCTTCCAATGCAACATCCTCCCATCCCAACCCAAGCACCCATCTGCACATTGTCTGGTATTTTCGTGGCACACAGAGATGACTACTGGTCGATTCAGAGTTGCTCCTCTGAAGCAGCACACACGTTCGTTGGGTGGCAGCCCAGCAAGCGCGCTCACAGCGATTGCAGGAGGGAGAGGCGGGAGAGCGTGGAGGGGATGGAGCCCGTCAAGGTGTTGTTGGCCAGGTTGCTGCCACGCCATGCATCGCACGCGGAAGGTGGCATGGGAATGTGGTATGGGATGGGAACGTGGCATGGGAATGTGGTATGGGATGGGAACGTGGCATGGGAATGTGGTATGGGATGGGAATGTGGCACGGGAATGTGGCATGGGGTTGTGATTGTTTTTTGAATAACTAGCTAGTCGCGGTCGCGGATTTAGTGTGCACATGGGCGGGCTTACTCACAGCGATGTAATGTTCTCCATGTTGCCTATGCCTTGTGGAATGCTGCCTGTGAACTGGTTGCTGAATAGATTCCTGCATCACATACGAGCGAGCCACCACATGAGAGCCCATCAACCACATCACCACAGCACTCTACACCACACCACACTCTGAGTGCTGAGAGTGCAGTGCGTTGTGAGGAGCAATCGTATGCTCACAAGATTTCTAGCTTGGTGAGGCTCCCAATGGACTCGGGGATGGCGCCACTGAATCGGTTCTGCCACACTGCACTGTGTGTGTGTGTGTGTGTGTGTGTGTGTGTGTGTGGTACGTGGGTGCGTGAATAAGAGACAGCGCAAAACGGGGGGGGTTGGCAGGTGATAGCAATGTGTGACGGCGATGGGTAAGAGTGACGGTTCATGGGAGATTCACAAGCTCCGTGCGGAAGGTTTCAGACAGGTCAGGTATAATAAGTACATGCGCTTGTGTGTGACTTCCAACTTCCAAGGCACAGGCAGAGCAAGGCAGAGAGAAGGCGCTTACAAGATGTTGAGGTTGATGGCGCTGCCAAGGGACTCCGGGATGGCTTGGCTCATCCGATTGCCCACCAGACTTCTGCACACACCAGGCGCGCGGCAGCACCCACACACATGCAGTGCAGGGCAGGGCAGGCAGGCAGGTGGGTGAACGGGCATGCACATGGCGTAGGGGAGTACAAACAACCAAGTGTAGTGGATGTGCATGCATACAATGGCTAGCCTTGAGGCCAACACGTGGCACGGTCCTTCCTTGGGGCGGTTGTCCCAGGAAGTTCATTGACAAGCATTAAGGGCAAGCGTGTGATGCACATGTAGGAGTGCAGGGGAAGTTGCATCTGTCTGACTCTCCAGTGTGTGCGTATGTATGCATGTGTGAATGCATAAGTGTGGGTGTGGGTGAAAGTGTGCATGTTGGTGCGATTGTGAATGCATAGGTGTATGTGGATGTGGGGGGGGTGCGTGCATGTTGGTCCGTGTGTGGATGTGTGTGCATGTGTGCGTGCGTGCTTGCATGCACACACATGGATTTCAACCACGGGTTGGAAGGGATAGTAGCGATGAGCAGAGGTGGATGGAGATGATCAGAGGTAAATGGAGATGAGCAGGGTTGATTGAGTGAGGATGAGCAGGGTTGATTGAGTGAGAATGAGCACACATGTACTCTAATGTGGTGTGACCGGACACCCATGATGGAAAAGGTCCCGTTAGATCCATGTAGCTGAGACCCCTGCTTTCACACACGCGCACACACACGCGCACACACACGCGCACACACACGCGCACACACACGCGCACACACACGCGCACACACACGCGCACACACACGCGCACACACGCGCGCACACGCGCGCGCGCACGCGCGCGCGCACACGCGCGCGCGCACTCGCGCGCACGCACTCGCGCGCACGCACGCGCGCGCACGCACGCGCGCACACGCACGCGCGCACACGCACGCGCGCACACGCACGCGCGCACACGCACGCGTACACACGCACACACACACGCACACACACACACGCACACACACACACACACACACACACACACACACACACACACACACACACACACACACACACACACACACACACACACACACACACACACACACACACACACACACACACCACACACACACACACACACACACACACACACACACACACACACACACAACACACACACACCACACACACACACACACACACACACACACACACACACACACACACACACACACACACACGCACGCACGCATCTCCGCACTCTCAGACGCAGCAGCACACACATGCATCGGTTGCTCAACAAGCATGAGGAGACATACACGTAGCACGCACAAAAGTCGCACAGAAAACACACTCAGAAAGGTACAAGCATGCCATGGCCGTTGTGTGTGCTATGCATGGTCGCACACACTAGCATACATCCTCCTCCACAGTGTCCTGTTCGAGCCCTCTCAAGGTACCCTCTCACATGACGCTGCTCCATCTCTGCATTGCGGCTCAGTAAGATGCACAG